AAAGTATACTCGAAAGTATCTGGAAAATGCGTTAAATCAGTATTAACGTCTAACGTTTTCGTATTTGTGAGAAAGCTTAGCGAGAAACGATTTAATTATGAAATGTGCCCCGCAATCAAATATTCTTCCAATTTTACTAACTGAATCGTGGAATTGTGAAACTACTCCAGCAATGTCGTACTCGAAAATTTATCAGAATGTATGTTTGCGAGCGATGGTGAGCTGCAAGCATATTTGACTGCGAGCTTCCAAGCGCATTATGATTCTTCTCTGCACGCGCCGGCAAGTTATAAATCTTTAATGCTGTCAACGCGATGGCGATTTACTTCCGCTCTCGCTCCCTGCTAGAGGTTTCGCGAAGTTTATTAAGCTCGTTTATACTCGCATCTGCAAGCGGAAGTTTTTCCTCTCCTCGCCATGAACTTACGTCAGGCGCGCGCGCCGTTCTCAGCATAGTTTCTTTCGGATTTGAAAATTTTCGGCGTGTCGAGGGAGCAAAGATGATAATACTTTTGAAGTGTCACACGTAACACCGTCAAAATGACTGCATCGATAATTCGCGAATATACGAGCGTAACGGCGATTTATCAGCGAGACATGCGAGACGGTAGTCGCGGAACTTGCGTCAGCGCGCGGATTCATGAACTTGCTATTCGGGAAATGCATGCCTTGTATTCACACACATACACACACATTGTATAATATATACGTCTTCGGATAAGAATAGAGGAAAAAGCGGTCGTGGAATTGCAACCTCACGTTTCTACCGCGCATTATTTTGTGTAGAATTCTCATTCAAAAAAACACTTGGAATCTCAAGGCGCTTCTCGTACCGTAAATGGTTTACGTTTAGCGCGAAGATATTGTGCTCCACCATGCCGGTGCTGTGAGAGCTTGAAATTCATTCTTTAATGATGAAATTTATGAGAATTACACAATTTTCATAAATTGGACAAACACTAAAATAAGGAAGAATACTTTACCTGCAAAAGGCAGTGAGTCGTAAATGATCGGAATTGTGAATTATTTATTGTGTGTCACGAAATTTGTTGTATTCGCAAAAATAAGCACTTGTCAAAAAGTGCAAATCTTTCACAACGGCTTGAGTTAGGCTGTTGCACGGGCAAATCACATGTCGCGCTGTTACCGCAGGCTCTCGGAATACGAAAGCGGCTGGCATTTACGGTTCCATCGTTTCTACCACGGTGTTTGTCGAAGATATCTCGATCGTTATCGAGTATTCGCTCCCGTAACCTTTTCCTTTCACCGCCCTGATGTCACCGAGGATCACGTCAGTTAATCCTGCTCGCTTCGCATGCATCCCGTGCTGTTCATAAAATTGCGATCAATGAAACCTTTTGCGGAAGTGCTGCGGACGTTACGGCACGTTGCGGCCAGCGGTCATCGTATCGCGGGATATGGCGAGATCGCTGTGCATGCCTTCGTATATACCCTTATTTGCTGCATATAACGCTGGTGCCAGGATGTTCTTTTGTTCTGATCCCGGCAAAGAGCGCGTGCAGTGTAGCGATTGTGTGTAGACCGCCATCAACTGAACCGAAGATCATATACGCGCGCGAGATGCAGACGTGCACGTGATAAAATTTATGATCAGTAGAGTCTGCCATTGACGGCCGGTTCTTAGCGTGACATTAGGTGACTTGCATTTTGATCGGATATGATGCGCGAGAAGGGTATGTAATACGAGCGCCGCAGAAACTCGCGCGCGTATCCCGCAGGGATGGCTGATCCGCGCAGTCATTTGGGCTTATAGCGAATCCACGGATCCGAGCTCGATATATTGCGAGTACTCACATATATTACAAATTGTATATTTACACCCACACTTACACGGTTTACCGAGCGATAATGCAATAAATATTATAGGAGGAAAAGTGGATGGCTAGATGCAACCTAATTTAAAAGATGGATAAAAATAAAGAAAAGAAACTCACGCGTTTGAGGGATCATGTTAGTGAAAATTGAAGCTTGTGTTTTATTTATCCTTTTTATCCCTTAATTAAAAAAAAAGGAGACTTGCACGTAGCGTGTATCGATTACGCAATAATTTTCAGCAAGCTTCATTTTCGCTAGGTAATAGCCGGTCTTTCCCTTGGCTCGCGAAAATACCCGTATTCCAAACGGATTATTGATGACTTGCGGTTATTCCACAATATTGAGATAGTTATCGTTAAAATTGCATGCGCGAATACAGGCAAATTAAGTATTAAATATGATTAAAATTGCTAAAATTTCAAAAATCAGAAAGCTATTGGATAATCAATAATTTTAATGTAGTTGAAATTGTGTTTCTAATTAGACTAAATAAATATTGTACAAAAGAATATACTTGAAATATAGTTAAATAAATCTAAATAAAAGAATATATTTAATCAAGATAAATCTCAATATTTTTATATTTTTTATAAAAATTTTATAAAAATTATAAAAGATTTGCTATCAATTATATAAATTAACAATAAATTTAATGGATGTTATTAAATCTGCAAATCTCATTAAAATCGTAATAAATAATAAACGAATACAATTGTTATTAATACAGTTAATATTTAATAGTCTACATTTTTTGTTATTTTGTTATTTTTTTATTTAATTTTATTCTAAAAATTTTTAACGTATCTGATTAAATTCCATACTAAAACAATGTTATTAAACACTGTATTAATTACATTAATTTAAATGCAGCCGTACATAGATTGAATAATAATAATGCAAAAATGCGGTAAAAATCATTGCTGCTTTACTTAAGTTAAACAAACATTTTCCATCAAATGGAACTTAATTATTCATTAATTTGTACCGCAGTTATAAGAAACTTTAAATCATCTTACTTTATTTAGATATTTGTACATATTTTAAAAGTCTTTCTAATTTGGATCTGAAAGAATTCCGCGCGAAGAGAGAAAATATGAATATTTTTTTATTTCATTTCAATTATCTCATGATCTCATGCATTGATTCTATACTTTTAATTTACCGCGGAAAATACTATGTTGGGAAAATTTAATTATTTTTTCAAAACAATTTCACATATCAATTCAGCGATTTTTTCGCTTTGTGTAACGACCTGTGTATATTTTCATTATTTTAAAAACTTATTATTGGCTAATTTTTATCTCCGCGGAGATTATTATGACATGTGATTCTACATACTATTGTAATTTTAAAAAAATTCTAGTTTGCATACGTATAACAGAAGCGAATTAATTCCTTTTTGAGTCATTATTTAATTAATAATCATAGCCATTTCTATTCCCATTCCCATTGAACGCCTCGTGCGTATAAGAGATATTTCAATTACGGTTACCGAACACGAGGAAGATTATAGTTGTGGACATGAATACGCAATAACCCCTACATTTTCTTCGTGGTCTCTTGGAAAGTTATCGCGTTTCGAGATGCCAGAGGGTTCTCTCGTCCTTCGGGGACGCCTTACTTTCTTTCGGTCCCCCATTCGTCTTATATACGTGGACGCGCACGCCCCATCTTGACAAGTCCGCTCGCCTTATCGCCCTCTCTTCATTCTCGCCGACATCATAGGAAATTGCGGACAAGTTTCCCCCGAGGCGGTTGCCCCACAGAGAAATTCAACCAATTAGATCGACGGAAAACTTTCCTTACCGTCAGACTTAACTGGCGAGCAAGCGGCCTCGAGCCTTGCTCCGCTAGCTGCTCTGCTCTCGGCGTCGCGGATATGCGTGTGTATGCGTGCGTGCGTGCGCGTCTCCGAACGGGTGGTGCGATACGCACGGTCGAAGCCCGGCATCCTACGCACGGACACGTCTGCTCTACGCTCACGTAAACATCCCCGGAATACTAATGAATCCACGCCGACGAAGACGCGCGGCGCGCGCGAGCGCAGATTCGATCTCCGCGCGGCGCGCGTACTTAGAAGCGTACTCTGTAATTCGAAACCGCGCGCGCATCTATAACCTGCCGCAACGAAGCGTAATCAAGCGACGGAAAGTTCCGGGCAAGTTGCGCGGAAAAAGCTAAACACGATCTCTCTATGCGCCGAGGATCGGGTACTAACTTGGGGCTGCTGTGCCGTTCTTGGCAACTTCGTAATAAACATAACACGCGAAAGAATGCGAAAGAAATTATTATTGTTCTGCAAGCTGCCTCAAACGTGAAATAAAACTCGACAGCTATAGTTCTTCAGCAAGTATTCCGAGGGTGCGTTTAACATGTATGTAATTGGAGAATATAATATTCTCTAGATAAAAATATAATGTCTTTAAATGTTCATGTTGCTCTTTAAATATTCACATTTGCTTCTCTTTCTGTTTTTTCTTGCACAGGACGTTCGAAATTTGCTCAGGTGCTATTCGTATTTAAGTAAAATTTGAGAATTGAGGACAAAATTAATTCCGTTACCCAATTTATTACTGTGTAATTTTTTTAATACAACAAAAAATTTTACACACAGACAGTGTGTAAAATTTAAACTAACTGACAGCTTACAAGCGAACTACACATGTCACGGTATTGGTACACGAATGCTTTATAATTAACGTGCGTGGAAAGCCATAAATCGTAGAAAAATATCCGTTGAAAGGGAGCATCGCGTATTACACAACTTGGTTTGAAAAAAATATTTTCAGACTTTGAAATCTTCAGTGCAAAAATAAAAAAGAAATAGAAACAAATAGGTTCTCGATCAGTTATGAATTTTACATATAAAAACGTACAATGGATTTTCAATTACACATTTATATTTAAAAAGTTTATTACATAAAAAAATAACTTATTTTCAGTTACAATATTTCCTATCAAAATATTTGATATAAGCTGCAAAATAATATATCGTACGACAAATACAGCTTTCAGTTTGTAAGAGATAATTAATTAATTACACGATTAAGTTATATATACTATTGCGCATGAGGAGGCATATTAAATGACGGAGCCAATCGTGGTAATTGTACCTCGTGCGTAAGTAAACTGAAAGTTAACAAATTGGATCGATAATTACTCACCGATTCTAATGACCGGCGGCAGCGACATGGCAGTGGTGATCGAAATGACGATTATGACGAACAACAGTGCCATTGTGTCCAATGTGAAGATGATTCGCACTTGGACGACTATGACATCGTTCGTGCGGATTTTCCGTGAGACAAAGTGCGACGGAGGAAAGGAAAGGGAATCATAGGTTCGCGAAGTTGCTCCGGTTTCACCGACACTTTAACACCAAACTGCACATCCTCAGAAACTCGTAGCACATCGGAGGGGATTCTTAGATGGCCGTCATCTTCCGTGCGGGTTCGATCTGAAAAATAAAAAGAACGAAACTTACAATACAATATCGAAGCAGATGACATTAAGTAAAACTATGATATTGCACGATTCTAGTCTAATAAATTTAAAAAAAATTAAACTAAGACAAAAAGCGATGACTTAAAAATAAATAAAAATTAATTTGCAATGCATTTGATACATATTACTACGAATTTTTTATAAATATACGTACATAAAATAGTGAAATACTTTTTCAAATATGCACATATAGAGGAATAAAATTTTTGTAATATTTCGCTGTCATATGTATATGTGCAAATCATCGTAATATTATTCATATTTGTTCATTGATATAGCTTTTTGGTCAAATGGACATCTACGGGAGAAACAATGCAGGCGTAAAATAACTGACCTCATAAAATCAGGACCCGAGCAGACCAGCAAAATGCAATCTGCTGGAGGCCATGCTTTTTCGCTGGTAAATTAATTGCTTAAATGGGGTAGCACGGTTTTATACGGGATCGTTTGTTGAAAGTAACAACCGGTTGGTTACGATTTATGAATTTCGTCTAAAACGAAGAAGTAAGCCCGTTAGAAATACGAGATCGGTTTGAAATTTTAAGAAATTTGGATATCTATTATTTCTAATCGCACTTGTATACTTTTCTGCGTTTTAAAAGTAAAGGAAGTACATATTTTTAATGCTTAAGAAAATAGTAGAAAAGATAATTTTAGTTCTTATTTCATATTTAATTTACAATAATTTTACATACTTAAAAAATAATTTACTAATCTAATTTAAACTTTTCAAATATATATATATATATATATAATGTTTTATTCCAAGTAATGTAGTTGAATTAATGAAGAGAAAAATTATTGAAAATACACGATAATGTCACTTATGTATATTGCACGTGATATAACTCTTCGAGAAAGAGATTGCAATTTGAAGAAGATTAAGAGGCATTGCTCGGCACTTTTTAACATAGTCGCCGTGGACGCGTATCAACAATGTTGAAACGAGGGTACGGTTTAGTTTTATTTGCGACCTCGAAGACGGCGAGAAAAGGGACGACGCCATGGTCTCTGGAGTGAAATCACGTGGGCCCGCGTTTCCGCTCCCGGTGGTGCATTTTCCAGAGGGAGAGATGGAAAAAAGGGAGTTCGCGACCTCCTTGGTAGATACGACCTCCATTATGCTGGAGATACCAAGGGAAAGAGAGAGTCCCTTTATTTTCGAAGCGATTCTGGAGTTTTTTGGTACAGTCACGATAATGTCTCCACGCCCGGACTCTATCTCGACGTGCCGCATTGTGTTGCGCGACAGTCCCGTCGTCCCCTGCAACTTCGATCGCGTTAACGCGACAGATAGAGTTCGTACTTAAAACTGCGTTACGAGAAAAATGTAGTTGAATCAAGCGCTTTCCCGGCAAAGCAAACTCCCTCAATTTCAACGACATTCCATGAAGCAAACTACGAGAAATACCGCAGAATAGCGTCGAGACGCACAATAGCGTTATAATTTCCTCCGTGAAATGACTAACGGGAAGAGTTGGTGAGTTTGCGAGTTTAAAAATGTTATGTCATATTTATTATTTTTTCTCTCTCTTGATGTCAGAGCGTATTCTAGCGAGTGTTATTGGCACGACATGTACATCGGCGCAAAATCTCTGCGATTTCTTAATATCTATTAATTAAATATTTCATTAGTCTGCAGCATTGCTGATAAATGCATGTTAATGTACATCAAATTATTTATTAACTATGAGGATAATCAATTTTGCCGTGATATAATTTATTTGATTACACCGGCATAAACTATTCTGTAATCTCTTGTTTTATTAATCATAGATATGAATTCAATTACAACATTATCTACCGACGGACGATGCGCAACATGCCGTTATATGCCGTTGCTGTAACACGCAACTGTCGAACGATGCGAAATGCAAAGGCTTCGATTACACGGTTCGAATTACCCGTGTGCGCTGTGCGCAAATGAAGAAGCCAATTCACCGTATTTAATCCGCTATTAACATCAGTTCAATCATCGGCTAAAAATTCCTTTGCGTCACAACATTCATTCTGCCCGAGATTGTTCCCGTGTCGCAACAATGTACACGCTGCAACGTACGACGCGCAAAGTAAATGGAAGCGAAAAGCGCGGACCGGCAAGCACGACGGTCCCGGTATCAATATTTGACGATGAAAATGCTGGTCGGGAGAATAAAGACCTCGCGCGCGCGCCACACCCGCCCGAATCACCCTCGTGCGGACGACCGGCTCTCAACGAAAGTCCGGTGTCGATGCCGCATGCGGCTCACGCTTTCGCCATTAGAGTTAGCGTAAACGGATTTCAACTAACCCAATTTAGCCGGGGGTAACTTTGCCTCTCGCTGCATGTTTGTTTGCCGAACGGCGCGGTCCTAAGCGCGCCGCTTGATTACGTAGGTGTGTCCATTGCGTTTGAAACGGCCTTTTTTCATTCTACCGTCTTTCGCCCCATCGGCGACTACGTGCGGCGCGTACTCTCCTTTCTCTCGGTATACGGCCCTCCGTAGTGACTCGCGGCGGATTTGCCCTTTAGCGAAACCCCTGGCGTCTTGTTAAGAATTCATCAAATATGCAACGGAAATATATCACAGATATATGTACACGCAAAATTGTGCACATTCTTTTCGAACGTGAAACATGCACGTTAAAAAGGTATTCCGACGAAGTATAAAAGGCATGGGATATCTTAGGAACAATGTAATATTTTAAACTGCAGTAAATAAAACTTTAAACTATTCGTGTATGACTACAGAAATAAATGTAAATGTAATTTTTTTGTCAATGGATACTTATTTAATCAATATTATTAATTTGATGTTATAAGTTATTTATGGTGACAATTACATACATTTAAAGAATTAAATGTATGTATCGAAGAAAGAGAGAACGTACACTTTTTTGCGACAGTGAATAATACTTGCGTTATTCGCAGTGCGTTTTATCGGCGATAAAAACTACATTACATCTGCTCTTTATGGGTTTTACGATCGGGAAGGACTAACTTGACAATGTCTTCCTAGATCATAAAAGACTGCTGGTAACTACAATTCTGAACAAAAGCTATATTTTTTCTTTCTTTTTGGAGTAATTCTGAAAATTACATGTGTGTTTTATTTTAGTTTCAGTAGAGCGTTTTGAGGTATACTCGGCATCGCGACTTTATATTGCAATTCTAAGCAGATATATGAATAAAATTGTAAAATCGTAGCTTATGAAATAATATCATAACTAAAAAAAGTTAAATGAACTATTGAGTTATTAATAATATTTATTGTAATTTTAGACAATCGCTATATTTCGTTATATTAAGAATAAAGCGTTAAATACACATTATCATTTGATAGTAAATAAATCATGGAATCCAATTTATTATTAAATATCTCTATGATGTATACAAGATGCAATTTTAACGAGAGCTTAAATGAACTATCTAGTTTTATCACGAAACGCGAGCGAAGAGAAGGAATGGATGGGACGTGGCAGATTGATGCCGCACGATACCACAACCACAACCACAATCTGGAGAAGTTGCGAAGCAAGTGGTGTAGGGGAGGATAAAATCGGCGTGTATTGTCGAAGTAACGAATCACCAATCAGGATTTAACGGCTAGTCAAGACGCACGATATTTTCCGCGAAACGGACGTTAACTTCCGAACCTTCGCGCTTTATTTTCTCTCTCGCTTCGAAACGCGAACGCGGGCGCACTGTAATAAAATTCCAAAAATTATCTCTTCTATGGACCGAAGGAAGCGTGTAAGCTACAGCGCGTCAACGATACATTACGAATGAATACTCGGTAGACGGTTGCGCGATTAATTACGTGACGGTGTCAGCAAGAATTTCATAACTCCCATATTCTCGAGGAGATTCAAGAAGAAAGTTGACGCGCCGCGATTGAGCGAGATTTAACGGTTATCTAACAAAGAAACGGTTAAATTGTTAATCGATAATTTTACCGTCGTGCGAGATTCATCGACATCGATAGATCTACGAAAACGAACGAAAGAGACCAATCGTCTGATTAAAATGTATGATATGTTTTGATATTTTAGATTGTTTATGACATTTCAATCCGTAGTTGTGATCTTTTTAATTAATATACTGTTAAATCTACAGTGTCAAATCTAATCCAATTTGAGTTGCCACTGCTCTTACTTAATATATCATTATTTTTAACTTTAAAACAATAGAGTTAAACAGTTTAAAACAGTTTAAATTTATATTGGGTTAAATTTGAACTGTTTCAAACTGTTTAACTCTATTGATAGGCAACTCAAATTGGGTTAAATTGAACACTAAGTTAAATTAGACAGATTTAATAGCGTAGGCAAATGAAATTTTTCTGATAATAATTTTCTGTAATAATTTTCTGTTTTCTCCTCGAGAAATGAAGCTCTTTTGAGTAGCTTATTTGTAGATATATCAGTATGTAAATTCTCTAGTTAATTAGTAATCTCTAGTAAATTAACGGTAAATTAAAAAAGCACGAATTTGGAGATATATTTAACGTTAATAATCATAAAATCAACAGAACATTTATACTTATTTTTTAATAAAAATTTAAATTAATATCACTTTGGATTAAACGCATACATTTTACGCGTCTCTTAGATTTTTCATGAAGAAATTGCGAAATTGCAGTGAAGAGAGATGGAAAACATCGTACGAAACAGCTGTATGAAGCGCTGTTAGAAGCAAGTGCAGGAAAATTATAAATGTCTAACACGTAGCGGCGCTTTCATGAAACGTATGCTTCAGAAATACCGAGTTGCGAGGAAGGAAACATTTTGACGAGCGCATCTCTCGTTTGTCTCGATTATTTCGGGACGAGGTGTTAACCACGCGCACACATACGGGGCGCAACTCGGAGTCAAGAGGTAACGGGAAAGATGCTTAAGGGGGGAAAGAAGTCGTTACGTTATCGTATTATACAATGCAACGTGCCGTATTTCCACACGCGCGAAACCCGCTTTACTCACGTGGAAGCCCAACGATGCTCTTCGGCGAGCTTCTCTTTACGAACAGGAAGTATGCGCATGGTAGAAAAGGGAGTGCACTCAGCGTATCTATTTTTTTAAATGAAAATTGGAAGCGCGATGTCGAAAGTATACGCATAATTACGTTTGCATTCTCGTTGATGTTATTTTAATAAAGACGTAGCTCATTTTTCTTTAGTAGCCTGAGAAAAAGCGATTTGCAGTAATTGCGATGGTCTTATTAATAATGAATTATTCGCGGATGTATCAATAAAGGGCATAAATAACGAGTGGAAGATGGAATATTGATTGCTGAATAAAGTAGAAATTATTTAATAGCAGAGGGTAAAAATATAAATTAACAACTAATGATGATATAAAGTTTTTGTTATAAAAAAATTCTTATTACACACTCAAATTAATAACAATCAAATGGTTTGATATTATGTTATGAGCATAAAAAGAGAAGATAAGTTTAAGATATATTATAAATAAATCAGTCAGCGATGAAGTCTTCTATGTATCAAATATTCATGTACTAATTAGTAAGTGTTTTACGCGTTTTTTGACAATGCTATTAACGAAAGTATTTTTAGATAGTAACATTTTAAACTCATAATTAAAACAACAATTAAAAATTAAAAGTTATAAAATGAGTTATAAATGTGAATTTAATTGTGTGTGTATGTGTGTGAAATTTGATTGCTTGAATATAAATACAAGCTTTATTTTCTCAAAATTTTAGTTTGCAATACGGTTAGCATGAGTTTTAATGCCAAAAATTAAAAGTAAAATAACTAGTTAATTGTATTTACATAAACAATTTTTAAATAAATCTCAAATAAAACTGAAACCGAGAATTATGAAGCTGTACGCTCAAAATTGTATGTGGCTCGCTACATATCAAATAAAAAAAATGCTCCGAAGCTTTATTATCTAAAAACTTATCTAAAGATTCAATTAAATGATATTAAATAATATAACGTACGTATATTATTTAATAAGTTACGGAAAAGCATATTGGCAATTAAGACAAGAGGAAAAATAACGACAATCAGAATATGCTTAATGAGAATATGTCTAACGAATCAATCAAACTTTATATACTGGCAATGTCCTGCATAGAGTATGAGACGAAAGGAAAGCGAAAGTGAGAAAGAGAATAGTTATAACTGATATCCGATCATGTTCATTAATTATCGCTCGGACGGAAATGATGCGGAATTTACGGATATCATCGCGTTTCAAGTCGAATTGTATAGTAACCATGTTAATACATCTAATCGTATTACTGATGCATTATGATAATACCTGTGATTAATGATTCTGCTGATTATTCTAATCCATGCGGATTAACGACGACTTCATTATGAAGCAAACAGTTTGTAAACGTCATTAGATAATGAATTTGGATACGCTTAGTTTAAGAACTCGATATTAGAGAAATTAATTTGAAAGGGGAGGGAAAGGATATTAAAATGAAAGTTTCGTTAATAAATTGTGCAATAAATAAATGAGCTATATATATTTGATCCATAGTGATTATATGAAAGTTTTATCTACTAGTACAAGAGATTACAAATAATTACTGCAATATTGTCGCAAGATACGAACTTCCTTAACGATAATATATCATCGATTATTCAATACGCCACGCTTAACGATCGCTTGCGAAGGCAGTAATCCTCCGTGAGTTCTTCGTGCGAATCCTTCGTGCCGCGAGAATATAGTCTAAAAATTTCTATGACACTCGAAACTGTATTTATGAAAGCGGATATTACGAACCGTGTTTCTGGCGGACTATTTTGAAATACTCGGATACTCGTTAGCAAAGATATACAGACTGTCAGCAAGAGGCTTGGCCTTTTTAACGCGGTATTAACACTATTCATCGCGTTCGTCTCTTCTGTCGTATCACTATTTTTGCGTCGTGTGTATGTATAGAGTATTTCAGGAGAAAATATTTTATCGATAGATTCTAAAGCTGCTTATAAGTAGAAATGCTGTCGTTTCGTATCCGTGACACGAGCATTTTAATGGGCAATTTTGTGTCAGTAAATAATAAACAATTAATTCCACATAATTATCTCTGTCACTTATTTAATTAAATATGTTATATTAAGTACAAGCTTTAGCTGAATGTGAAAGTATAACGCCTGTTGTTTACCGATATTTGCAATTTATATAATTATTGAAAATCAAACTGGGTAATAAGAATACAATTAAAATTAACTGCTCATTTACCTCGTTATTTATTTCTTTTTGAGAATCAGATTGGACGAAACTAATTTTAACTAAATTTTTTTGTTTAGTTTTTTATTTAAAATTGTTGAATTTACCGACAAGGTATTCGTATTCTTTATCGAAATAGTATACATTTTTTTTCGAGTGTACAATTTTCTCGACAACTCGATGACTGAGTGACAATAACTGATAACTTTTACGAGACAACACTTACGTTTGTCTATGCGACGTAGGAGATATCGATACATCTCACGAGACTCGTCCCGCACAACATGATTGCCGTCAACGATTCTTTGGAAAGACAAAACTCTTCTTTCGTTCTTTCACTCGACTCGGTTAAGAACAAACCGCGACGCCTTCGACATTTCGACGTGTCTCCTTTAATCTTTGATATGCTCTACCATCCCGGCACTTTCTTCATAGAGTCATCGCGATTTTCCCTGTATTCTCACACGATCGAACTTTATTCTTTCCGATTTTAAAATCACCCATGTATTCTTTGTTATCACGTCTATAAGAATCGCATCATCTTGGTCACTTCATTGTTATTCGCGTCAGTGCTTAAAGGAGGTAGAGATTCAAGAATGTGCTTCTTCTGCGCTTCACGTTCACGATGTACATTGACTCATTGATTTTATCTGTTAAAAGATCGCTCAGTTTTCCGAGTCGCATAATCAGTGCATCTTCTTTGACGTTAAAATCCTCTCTCGCTAGAAACACTGCGTCATTCAATCGTGCGACGAACTCTCTTCAAGTTCCGCGTTCACCGATCACCGTCCAGCTCCCCAAAGAATTTCGAGATCGCGAGAGCCGACCGATCCGATCGTCGAATGATCAAAAACATCCCGCGACGTGTCGTGGTACCCTCGAGGTCTCCGCGCTCTGATCCACTCGCAGGGGAGCATCGAGCCTACTTCCGGCGCATTAGATCACGCGATTTTTTTTCGACCGGCTTGTACGAGATCCACCACGCCAGACATTCGCGCGCGACGACGATGACGACAACGAGAACCTCCCCGTTTTGCGTACGCGCGGTCCGACGATCGCGAGAGACGCGCGGGCACTGGCTGCGCGAGAACTTACCGCCACCCCCGGACGAATGCGCGGACAGGCAGTGCGGGGTAGTGGGTGGCCTTCGAGGGGTAGCTCGAAAGGGGTGCTAGTAGAGTGAAAGAGACAGAAAGGGAGGAGAGAGAAAGAGAAGGATAATAGTGGTCTGAAAGAGATAGAGATGCAGTGAGAGGAGAGAGAAAGACGTGAGACGTTGAAGAGAAAAGGATGATGCGCACGAAATACACGGAATCCTCATTCGACATCCTGCGCGAGTGCCGAAGACAATCCCACAAAGAAACGCGAGCCTACATCCGCCTATCTGGGTTAGCAGACTCACGCAACCCTGACCATTTTGTCGCGAAACGACGTGGACATAGAGAGTGTACGGAAAACCGAAAGTTCAGATAAACTGTAAATTTGAAACTCTAAATTGAGATGAATTTTGCACGTGAAGTCTCGAAAAAGACTCTGTTTGTCTACAAAGTTTAGGAAAAATTTAAGAAAAGTCTATTTTTACTCGCCAATAATTATTAATATTTCGGAACGTGGAAAAACGTCTTTCTTGTTAAAGAAACATTTTAATTAATTCTATAATCTCGTGTGTTTTACATATATATATATATATATATATATATATATATACTATCTATTTCTTGAAATAAAATCCTAAAACACGAAGTTGCGATACACGATGAGTGATATTGAATCGATGGACTAAAGAGTCTCGCCTCTCGCAATATCGTCGTCTCTTCGAAGGCGTTCAGACTGCAAGAAACAGAGTTGCATCTTATCTGGATTATCGAGTTTCCTCGGCACTGACCATACTTTGGCTCGAAGCGCAAGTTTCACTTCTTGCGGTCTCGCAGAACGATCGCAACTCCGCCAATCCAATCTTACGCTATTACGTAGGCTTCGGTGACACGGTTTAAAAATTGCTCTGCCACCAGCGTCTTGCCACGCGAAGTACCTTTGGAAAGAGGAGATGGAGGAAGGTAGGAAGAGAATAGCACGCAGGACACCCTCTTTTCGTTTTAAGTACATAAGACAGTCTGATGAAGAACCGAAATTGCTTCCCACCGTGGATTACCGTGCTCGTCTTCTCTGACCACGTTCCCAAATTAAGCTCGTATATTTGACAATGTTCGCGTCGTACGTTTTGCGGAAAGGAATTAAAGCTTCATCTCGCGGGATTTACGCGTTTCACGCGCAAGGAATCACCTTACTCTGGATGCGCAAAGATCGTTATTATCTCTCTCTCTCCCCTCTCTCTCTCTCTCTCTCTCTCTCTCTCTCTCTCTCTAAAGATAAATTCCTAATTACATCACAAGAGCGTATAAGAGCTATGGAAATCCTAAATATTTACATCCTCCGTGCTGTCGGCGGAAGATAACGCGGGTAGAAAGTGATGTTACCAAAACTACAAAACTTAGCGGAAAATAGCGAAAGGAGCGGTTTAAGGAGAAGAAATAAGTAGGATAAGCGAAGCAACGCATATCGACTACGAAAATGGCTTGAAGGGTTCTCCGTGTTGCGGTTTCAAGGAAAGAGCGGAAAGAACGCAAGGAAATGCTGGAAGAGTGAAAGAGAGAGAGAGAGAGAGAGAGGGAACGTAGGAGGAAGAAGAATGGAGTATCTAAGTTGATTCTACGCTTTCTGGAAGAGCACAGATAGAAGACTACAAAGTGAAGCGAAGTCGTCTTATCCGCGTTAGTGAACAATGACCCTTGACCACTTCCTATGCAAAGAGGATTGAGATAAAATTCGCATTCATCAGCGATTTGATACTCTCCTAAACGTCCCCTGCCGCCATCAGTTACGCGGATGTAAATAATCGTTCTTAAACCGTCACATTTTTAATACAAATATTCCAACAGTATCCATTTATTTTTCTTTTCGGGATTATACCGAATGCCACGTCTATATATGAGCAGGAGATTTGTTCGCACAAATACAATTTTATTATATTTCTCGTTAAACAACTAGAAAGGACTAGATTTATTTATTCTACAATTCTACACATTTGTTACATTTCGTTACTTTTCATTTTTATCACATTTTCATTACTTACACAAACACGGAATATAGTGTTTGTAATTTTGCACGGGAAGAAAATTGTAATCTTGTTTAACGCTCGGGCGATAATAAGCTCTGATTTTTGAAGCGCAAAGGAATTATGGTGTCAATATATCTTTAAATATATATCTTTAAGTGATTTTTTAGAATGAAATAAAAACGATAATTCTCTACAAATTTTTTTTATTTAATACATCATCTTTTATATATTATTTTTTAGTATTACTCAATTTTCTATTTACATTTTAACTTATTAACGCTTCCATTCTAGATTATCCTTTCACTACAAAAGTGGAAAAGCTAACACTTTTGAATGGCATTGAATTTTAATGTGAAAAATGTAAATTTTTAAATTTTAAGCTATGCTTGAAGTTACGGCTCTCTTGTCACGATATACATAGTGTTCTCAACTTTAGTAATAAGAATTATGAGATGTTATATTCAGGACGATGATATATTATGTCCTGAATCTTTATAATAGCAATTGGCCTTTCTCAAGATGTCACTATCACTTAACAAGACCCTTCTTTATATATATTGCAATCAATTTCTTCTTTATGTTACTAAGCCATTTTTCATTATTGCTTGCCAAGCGACTACCGTAACCTTGTTGTATAACTTAGATTACGCAGAAGGCTTCAACAGAGCTAATAGTTAACAGATTTAGGAACAATTATTGTTAAAAATATAGGCTTTGTCACGACAATTATACTGCAAAATTTTATTTTTACTTCCAACTTCTGATTTATCGAGCCGTACTTTCTCGTGGTTGAATTTCACGATTTAACTAAATTCCCTAAAGAGAAGGTGAAATGCGAGAAAAAAGGACACTGTTTTCCGCGCGAATTAAATTGAATCGAAATGTCACGGTTCGCTAAAAGCTAATGAGCAGTTTATTTTATTTGCTCCTCTATCGATCAACGCGGAAGTAAAAAAAAAAACCTTTTAATGAGTTTCTCCACCGTTGAGAATTCCTGCTGACTGTTTCTTCAGTATTTTCTCCCGTGTTATCGGAAAAGATGATTAAATTAAGATGTCTGTCACAGCGGTCGCACCGTCTAATATCTCTTTATTATTGCTCTATAACACACATTTGGCATATAATTCTTCGATTCGAAAAATCGTTCGTTCAATTATCATCAAACGTTATCGCGTCGCGACATCTCGTCGTTCCATGGTGTCTTCGACGTCTCTTTTTAGTAACGTATAGTGACACTCTGGCTGAACACCAAGAAAACTGCTGACAAAATTTTCGCGAAGACATGTAACTCAGCCCTTGTGTGATATCCTCTCTTAATGGGATAATAAACTGTTCGCGACAGCGACATATAAAAAGTCGACTTCCTACATTACTATACACGCGCGATGACCGTGGCATATAAAAAGCGGACTTCTTACCTCTTACTGATGACCGTGGCATCAATAGTACATTTATATAATGATCACGCAAACAATATTATAATAAATTTTTACTGACAATGAGATACAATGGCGCAGCTGTAAGATTATAATGCTGAAAATTTATATAACGAACAAGGAAGAGCGTCGTATTTAGCCATACGTATAAAATCTACTCGCGCGCATTTCAATAAATATTTGCGTGGACGACTTCCTCTTCAGTAAACTAATGAAATATCAACGAACATTGCATTATTTCATCTCTTCTATTTACCGTGTACGCATACATATATGTATATGCGAGAGAACGATTTCCTTTTTATTTCACATTGCAATTCTGTGCGTGATATCATATGTATAAATATAAAAAGCGTATATGATAATGGGTTGGGCAATATCAAATATATTTGTTTCTGCGGCATCGCAAATATATTCGCTTTTGCGAATTTCGTATTCGAGTATACATTTTTAATTTTTATTTGATGACAGTAATTAAACGCAAACAACACTGCAATTTCATGAGCACAAACGTTTACACAAAGATACCAATAAAAATTCTGAAATATCCAAAGTTTGGATTGATGCTCGGTATTGAATTTACATTTTGAGTTTTTATAAAAATTTGTTGTTTTTAATTGTTTGATCATTTAATTTAATAATTTAAGCGAACTCTCTAAAAGTGAATCAATGGAATTATTATTGATTTTTCATTGTAATTTTCCACTGGCATACTTAGTTCTGTGATAAACAGTGATTATTTGAATGTTATTTCAATGATAACATATGTACTGATTCAAAGAGTAAATATCACTGAACTATATATATATCACTGAAAGCCAATGAATTTCAGTTTTCAAAAACTTTTTGACAACGAAACTCACTGTCTTTCAGTGATATTCATTGTTTCAATCAGTATACCATCACTGAAACGACACTGCAATAGTCACTGTTTATCACAGTTCTAAGTATGGCACTGGAAAATTATATGTATTGAAAATCAGTGATGATTCCACAGATTCACTTTTAGAGAGAATATTTCCCTGTTGCAAAACAATCTTTATTTGTCCGAATTTTGACTTTGACACTTCTGATTAGAGCATTGAGCGATACGTACGGAATATTTTCTATACAGTTCATCATCCCTTTGCTCCAATCGCATAAAACAATTTTCAAAGTGCACCGCACATCCGCGATTTATTCGAATGTACCGCAATAGCTGCGGGTTGAATTTCAACGCAAAAGAGTTAAAGTAAGTTGCTCACTGGTGCAGCGAGTGCATCGCAGTACGGACATAGCAGCACGCAGAAATTACTTTTTTTTTTCTTTCCAGAAAAGCTCTCCGGACACGTCTGTACGCGCGTACAATAGATAAATCAAGCGCGGAGAGCGACAGCGACCCGGCAAAACGGCGCTCTTTTTTCTCCGACTGGCATTCTGTTTCGTGCTTTTTCAAGACGTTTCTTGAACTTACGTGATAGAAATCTGCCGTCGCGTACGAAAAATATCGGTCAGTAATCCCGTGCAGCATTGTGCAC